GATTAGGTCGGTGGTTAAGAGGAAAGAAAGGGATTCTTTCCAGGTAGCCTTAATAAAGGCAGGTAGATCTTGCTCGTTGCAGTGCACTTCACTTCACAATAAACACGTCCGCTCAGTTCGGCCGCTCGCTCGAGAATGAGGTATCAATCAAGATCGCTAACTTCGAAGAAAGTTAGCTAAGTAACAAACAGCAAAACAGCAACTCAGAGTTACTCTGAACCAAACCACAGTATACTAATCAAATTTGATTAGTACAGTGTGTTCTGAACTGCATCTACTATTTGTGCAAAACTACCAAATCGAAACACCCACTTGTATCATAGAAAAAGGATTATATAGAGATATCCTTTTTCTATACTTGTATTTTCTTTTTCTACCTGAAAAGCTGTGCTAAAAAGTGAAAACATATTTTTAACCTTCAAGTTATTGACACAAATGTTCATATAATTTCAATTTATTGGTGGCAGATAACGTAATAATTTTCCTTTAAAACTGTTCAGTACTAACGTATTGAAAAAAAAAGGAAATGGCAAGTTTATTTAATACATTATCTCGAAGGGTAAGAAATTAGGTTATGTGCGACCCAAAAAAAAGTTTATTATTTTAGGTACCACAATTGATTAAAGTTATTTCGCCTTCTATTGCACAATCTAATCTCAGGAAATTTTCTATATGTATGTAAATATAGACCATATAATATATTGTTATCAAAATCATTAATTGCAGCTCCTTTGTTAACTGTACCAAGAATTCAGGAACCGGCACCTAATTTTAGTGGTACTGCCGTAATTAATGATTCTTTCAAAACTATATCATTGAGCGATTACAAAGGAAAATACGTAGTTTTAGTATTTTACCCGTTAGATTTGTAAGTATTTTACATTATTACATTTTTACCCAATAGAAGAATATTTTGGAAATATTAAGATATGTTAAAATAGATACAAAACATCAATTTTATGTATTCTTTTAACAGAGAAATTTAGGTTTTTTTTCATATTAATAAAGAATAGTATAATTGAATCATTTGAGATCCACAAAAGTAAAAAGCAAATGTAAATCCATTAATCCAGTCTAATTGTTGATATTTCCAATTTTAGAAGTTAGGTTATCTGTGTTTAGGCATCGATATGGTTAATGCTTTCAGATCTCGGAAAGACGAACTATTGTATTGTAATGTAATAAGTAATTTGTCAGGTCTGAGGGCATCAATTGCAATGCCACCTGGATCCAAGTGGTGAACTTACTTAATTTATCTGAAGGCATAGGTTATAAAACCAGCGACATAGTATTAGTTTTGCAACGATAAATTTGAAAGTTTCGTAAATGCTATGAGCAAGGCACGAAGATAGAAAATAAATAACTCGATAATCATTTTTCGAAAATAGCATAAAATGAAAATTTAACAGTATAAAAAAATATATTTTTGCACGATCAAGCTTTTTTAGTTCACTTACAATGTTTGTTTCTACGACAGTAGGATGCGCTTACTGGTTGCTAAGGCTAACAAAACGGTAAGTAATTCATTTACCGTTCTAGAACGGTAAGGGAATAACTGTCAAAATAGACATTTTCAACATCGCATTGATTTGGAATGAGTTTTCTTGAATTCAGTTTTAAATGTGGGTAATTGATATAAAAGAAAGATGTATTTTAAATCTATTTATTAATGTTGAAATTAAATGTACAGATTGTATAATTGCTTACAGAAATTGGAGCAGTACATGTTTTTCCAATTTCTATTCTATTCTAGAACTGTCAATTTCGTCAATTAAGAAAGCCGTGACAACAATAAACATCAGTAGATTTCAAAAAACCTGCTTCGCAAATTTATTCAGAAACGTCATTTTCGACATTACATAAAAAAAAAATAGGTATATATAATTTCGTTTTCATTTATTGCGATCGTGCAAAAAATAATATAAGCATCACGAACGTTAAGAGTTATACCGTTCTCAGACAAAATTGGAGGCTTCGCTTCGCTCAGCCTCCAAACATTGTCTTCGAACGGTAAATTACCCTTACCATTCTTAATGCTTAATATACTAATTTGACATAAATATGATAATATGAAGTTCCAATTAATATATTTCACCTAAATTAAAACCATATTTTTATGTCTTTTTTCCTTAGAAACATGTTCCGATAGTAAGATTCTATCCTCGTGCACTACACTACATTCAAACAATATGTCATCTCAGTTTTGACCATGCATTTTTTCTTTCTGTTATAGGGCATCATGTAAATAGTTCTTGTATGAAGCTGAATAAATATGAAAAAAAAGTTTATTACCCTAATTATCATTGTAAAAAATATATTTTTATAAATAAAAATGAATATTAAAAACAAATTAAAAATCCATAGTCCATAGAAATATGCAATAAGCATATTTTTTTTAATGTTAGTGTTATTTTTCTACTAATTCAATCATTAATTTTTTAGCACTTTTGTATGCCCAACAGAATTAGTAGCTTTGGATGCGAGAATAGACGAGTTCAAAGCTCTAAATGCAGAAGTAATTGGTTGTTCTATCGATTCTCATTTCTCACATTTAGGTTGGATGAACACAAATAGAAGCGTGAGTATATTAAATAATTTGTACCTAGTGTGAATAATGTATGTAAAAGTTACAAAATATCCAAATTTCAATATTTCTGGCATGTAATTTTCTAAAATTCATGTCCATATTCACTTTATTGCGAATACAAGTATTAATATTTTATGGCAAAATTCTACAAGTGATTCTGAACACAAATAAAAAAAAAAGTTCAACGAAGGTACGACCTGAGATGCTTTAACTTTGAGAACAGGGCCATAAAGTTTCATAATTTTTTTTGTTATTTATTTTACAGGTTATTTAAGATAATTTATTCATATTCCGTATATTCAACACTTTATTGAAAATGTACGAATTACTGTTTGAAATAAAATATAAAGTGATACTTTTTCTCGATATACTACCCTTACTACAGTCCTCTAAACACTTTTGTTGTGACGAAAGTAACATCTGTTTTGTCGTTTAACCTTTTGATTTTGTGAATTTTTTGTATCTTTGTTTGGATGTAGTTTATCAAAATGTGACAAAGTATGGTCACATTTTGACTGGAAATAATATATTTAAGTTCCATAATCCATTTACAAGGAAACATGTAAAACAAATGAGAATAACTGCATAATGATAAGTATAATAATCTAAGCATAATAGGATTTATTTGGCAAAAATTAAATGAAGAAAATATATAGTTATGCAAAGAAATGAAAATATAACAGGAGTTTATACATTATAATTTTTTTAATATAAATTTATAAATGAATGAGTTGATATAAATTGATACAGGGTGAAATTTTAGATGGTGTAGAAATGTGGTATTAGATTTTAGATTAAAAAAATCACAAAATTTTTCAAAATATAATCATGAAAAAATTTGTAGCAGAATAGGATTTGAAGAAATTATAATCTCTAAACATATCGTTTCAAGGTTTATTAAAAAAATAATTTTATGGTAATTGAAACACTCCATATAAATATTTAAGTACACATACTGACTACAGCTTACAATGGTTTATGCAGACTTGTAAAATAAAAGCATGGAACAGAAGGACCAAAGCCTGGGAAAACACCAGAGTGGTGGCTGGTGATAACTAAAATCAGGGAGACCAGACACGAAGTCCAAACTCATCGGGAAAATTGACAAAACTTGTCAATACAATGGTAGAAATTACATATAGTTTTTATCACTAGGGTCACTAGTTTTCTTTTTGCACCGAAGTTAATGTAGTATGGTAAATACGAGTGAAGTAAGCAAAGCAAGCACCAATTTTGTTTTAAAATGAATAGAAATATACTAACTTATAAATTAAAATAAATATTGCAATTTGTTCTTAAGAATTTATTAAATAACAAGCTCCCAATATTTCAGTGTATGTGGGACACTAGTGCACACAATTTGGTAAGATATTTGTTTACATGGAATACATTCTCCTTGTGTAATCTCCCTGATTAAAGTGGTCATATTTTGATAATGAAACATGGGAACCAAAGCGTTTTTTAGAGAATGATTTCTATGCTCATATAAAGAATTTTCATCGCAAAAAAATTTCAAATGAAGGTTGTAAAAAATTTAAATTGGAACAGCTCCCCTACGGGTTGTACATATACAGGGTGTTCCACCTAAGAGGGATTCTTCTGTAACTGCAACTATAAAATTTATAAAAAATGGTTTTAATAAATGTTGCCTGAAATCATGTGGGCCATGTAAAGAAAATATTTTTAGCTTTACAGGGTGTTCCATTTCGCGTGGGCACTGCATAACTTTGTTATTTTAAATGGCACACCCTGTATATTATTGCATTTTTGAATTCTTTGGTTAATATTAGGTGGAGTTTATTAAATGTACATGGTGTTTAAAACTTACCGTATTCGAGATAATCAATTGTTTTTGAAAAAAAATCACAATTTCAGCCCTCTAAATGAGACTGGATAGCGTCTGAACCGTAAGAGTTAGAAACTTGCAGTTTTCACAATTCATTTTGGCATAAATTACTCTATCTTGTCATATGTAGGCAAAACGTGTACGTTATTCAGACTCAGAAATACCGAGACCTACATTTAATAATTTTACGGGTCGAAAAACTTTTTTTTCAAACGGAACGACCCATATTAATAGTCATGGGTGAATGCAAAATTGAATGCCCTTTCGACTGATATAAGGTTGTCCATACTTATCTTTAACAGTTTTCCAGAAAAATAAGGTTCTTTTATTAAAACCAGTTTTTATAAATTTTACAGTTACAGAGTTACAGAAGAATCCCTCTTAGGTGCAACATCCTGTATATGCAAAATATATTTATTTATTTTTCATGAAATTAAATTACCTTTGTAGTTATGTATTTAAACATTTAAAATATTAATATGGCATTAACTTCTTATTTTTTAAATGTCATAATGCTGTAACTTTATAGAAATATACAAATTTTGTGATAATAGTCCAGGAAAATTAGACGAAAATAGGGCCGAACCTCGGAATTGCATAAAGAAGGTTCGATTTTGATGGGACAAAGTACGTTCTCTTCGTAATTGCATGTACTCATGTACATCAAAGTCAACAACGTCTCATGCGGCGCTAATTTGTTTATTTGTAAATAATCAATTATTATTAACAAATAATCGTATTTCGGATATTACGTGGGGTGGAAACGGCCAATCTTGATGCGGTAAAGCTCATTCTTCTTCTTCTTATTAGTTGTACTTTAACTGTAAAGGACCCCCACCGATCTTCATTTGTTTATCGATTTTTATTTGATTGTTATAAACAAATTAGACGTGATATCTGCGGTCGGGAGTAGGACTAGCCGATTTGGACGGGATGAACGTGGTTTTATATAGAAAATTCAAGACCCTAATGCAGGAAGTGAATTCTCAAAAAACTGAAGACCATATAGAACATGAATCATTATGAATAAATGTTATCCACTTCTCTTTGATTAAAAATTATCCATTCTAAGTCTTAGTTACAGATTGCACGTGTAATTTTTTTATAATGATTAATTAGTAAAAAGAAACAAATGAAGATCATTCGGACCTTAACGGTTTTGGAATATCCCGGATGATGATCAAAGTGACTTATTCCATAAAAATCAGACTTTTCTCGTCCAGCTCACAGATAACAGCCCGAATTTGTATATACTAATTCATTGAAGATCAATGAACAAATGAAAATCGGTCTGCCCTTAGTGGACCTTAGTGGTTCTGGATCACCTTGTAATCCAAGTACGAGAAGAGGGTCGATTACCACATGAAAATCCCCCTCTCCCAGTCCGATTGCCTAATTTGCTCTTAATGATCGAATAAAAATCAATAAACAAATGAAGATCGGTGGGAGTCTCCCAAAGTTAAGGTACAACTACAATCAGAAGAAGAATGGGCTCTACCGCATCAAAATTGGCCTTTTCCAACCCACGTAATAACCGAAATACGCTAATTTGTTAATAATAATTGATTATTAATAAATAAACAAATTAGCGCCGCATGAGACGTTATAGACTTTGACCTACATGCAATTACGAAGAGAACACACTTTGTCTCATCAAAATCGAACCTTCTTTATCCAATTCCGAGGTGAAATGCTAATTTTCTTGGACTATAAATAAAAAAACATGTTTGTGTTTATTAGCCGATCATGCAAAAAATAATAATTTGTACATGAACCTGCAATCCAGCCCCTAAGGGGAGGCTATCCTAATTTTTTTATTTTGCAAAAATTTGAAATATTTGCTTCATGAAAGTTGGCATTTTTACATAGAAATCGGCCCCTAAAAATTGTGTGTGCCCCACTATTCAATATGCAATATGGTAACTTTATTTTTCACCAGCCACAACTGTAAAGGACTGAGAAGGGAAAAACTAATAGTGCGATTCAAATACAACTGTCAAGTGCTGCTCCTCCAAAACTCTAGTTTAAATTTCTAAAATTACTATCCCCTTAATTAAAATATATTTAGGATCCACCTGTATATTGTTTTATACTTTGAAATTCTAGGATGGTGGAGTAGGTAAATTGAGATATCCACTTTTGTCAGACATTAACAAAGAAATTGCTAAAACTTACGATGTTCTCTTGGAAAAAGAAGGTATCGCTTTAAGAGGGACTTTTATTATTGACCCTAATGGCATTCTAAGACAAATTACCATTAATGATTTACCTATTGGAAGATCTGTAGATGAAGCTCTACGAATTATCGAAGCACTGAGATTTGTAGAGGAACACGGTGAAGGTAAATCTTCATTTATAAGTCTAAGCATCGTTTCAAATTATTATTATTTTTTTAGTTTGTCCAGCAAATTGGAAAAAAGGAGATAGGACTATTAAACCCGATCCTCAGGGGTCACAGGAATATTTCAAGAAAACCCATGGTTAAAATTCAATAGAAAATATGTTATAAATTTAAAATTTGTTGGGAATATATGTACAAAACAAAAAAAATAAGTGGCAAAAGATAAGGGTGCAGAAGAAACTCCTTTTTTGTTTAAAATAATTTAATTCATACAAAAAAAAGAAAAAAAAACAAATAAAAATATCACAGATGAATAACCCCACAACAGCTTTTCTAAATGACTTCATTGATTTCCTCGTTTATTCTTACAACAGGTTTGATTAACTGCTTTTGTTGGTCTACAATTATAATTACGGATTTCTTTTTCCTCCTGTAGTAGCACAGCCAGACAGCAACAGGCGCTAAAATTAAGGTGAAAGGTATAAGAAACAGCAAAGAGAATGATTCGTTTTCTCCTTTGTAATTGGAGCTGGGAACTTTAATAAAAACGTTCTTGTAATCTTTTCCATATTCCGTAACAGCTAAACAGGCGTATAATCCACTGTCAATATCTCTAGCATTGAATATTAAGTATTTGCTCAAATATGTGTTGCCAATGTTGTACACTGTAACGGATTTGTTAATGTGGCAATAACAGATTTTATCGTACTCAATGTCGCATTTCTGGCCGTAGCATTTTTTAAACCATATTATCGTTGGGGGTATCACACTAGTTACATTACATTGTATAGTGAATTCTATGTTGAGTTGTCCAGTTAAATTTGAGGTTTTCAAGGGTGCCACATATGGAGGGGTACCCTCATAACTGCCCGGATCTAAAAAAAAAATAAAATCATAAGAAATGTATCAACAATTTCTGATAATGCGTAAGTAAAAAAATTTTTACACATGAAAAATAAACTCCCCGTGTGGTTTCAGGTTTATACAGGCTGTTACAAATTCGCTTCTCACTACAGGAATCTCGGAAACGGTAAGAGATATGTACTAGCTTAAATGGGGGCAAAGTTGCATAAACGGGGGACCAATATTATGCCTCTAAAAAATCAAGGCTAACATGATTAGTTTTCGAAATATTAAAAAAAAAAACGAAATTTTGGAAATCCGTTTTTGTTCCATTTCGGCCTTGTTTGAGGTGACATTGAAAAAAGAAGAACACTTTCTCGTGGCAACTTTTTGCCTTCTATCAAATGGCATAATCAATTTTTATATCTAACGTTTTGTCTTTCCAGGACTATCATCAACTTCATTTTTTTAAATTCAACCCTGGAAATTTTATTAAATTTTTTGCAAGCCTTTATGACTCCTAATACTGTACTGCCTCAGCCCAAATGTTTTATTTAGATTTCTATGTTTACTGAATTATCGCACACTCGAAGTGTTGTTGGACCCTGTGAAATCCACCTAGTTATTTAAACTATTACCATCACACGTTACAATAAAACATTATTAAGTGCTCATAGGTATTTTTAGGTTTCTCGAGTGCTCAAAAGTGTTTTAATTTTTTTCAGAATATTCATATAAATACATCTGCGGTTCCAGGTATAATAAATTCTGATCATATTATGCTTATCTTCATTTTCAACATTTGCCAAAACGGAAAGGTTTTTGAACATTTACAGTAATTTTTTAAAGTATAATACTCATTTGGAGTTTTGGTTGATCATAAGCAATTTTAAGAATTAATTTGTTATAATGAAATTAAAACTAATAATGTTCTAATTTTGACGCAACAACTTATCGAATTATGACCAGGTGGATCTCACAGGGTCTAACGACACTTACAGTGTACGATAATTCAATAAACAAAGAAATCTAATTAAAAAATTTAGATAAATTTGGAACGAATACATTGAAGATGAATTTTTCAAGATAAAACATCTGAATCTGGTTCGGGCTGAGGCAGCATGATTGAGCATCATGAAAGCTTGTATAAAACTTCCAGCGTTGTATTTAAAAAAATAAAGTTGATGATGCTCCTGGAGAGACGAAACGTTATTCGATAGAGGGCAAAAAGTTGCCATGAGAAAGTGTTCTTTTTTCAATATCATCTCGAACAAGGCTGAAATGAAAAAAAAACTGATTTCTAAAATTTTCTTTTTTTCTCAAATATTTTGAAAACTAATCGTGTTAGCCTTGAATTTTTAGAGGCATACCTAATGTTGGTCCCCTGATTATGCAACTGTACTCCCATTTAAGCTGGTTCGTATCTTCTACCATTTCCGAGATCCCTGAAGTGAGAAACGAATTTGTAACAGCCTGTATTTATAAATATCAGTAGAGATACAAACTCTTAAGGGTCATTATATGGGGTTTTATTCAGATAATAGATAATCAAAAAGTAACTCAATTTTTTCTCTGGACGGTGGAGGTATTGTCCTTTGTTTTTGAAATATAGCCGATTTTTTTAAATAAAACTAGCTATATTTTTATTCTTTCAAAAAACCAATACTTTAAAATTTGCTATAAATAAGTTTTTAAGGATATGTTAGTGTTGTTATTTTTTTACTGTCTGTTAGAGGTCACTAGTTATTAACTTCCCAGTGACATTTTATAACATACCGGTTTTAAGTAGGGTTTCTAATCCCAGTATTTGGTACCAAGACGGCTCCAGGATTTTAACAAAAAAATATGGTCCCAGGATCACAGAAAAGGTTCCGGGACCAGGATAAGGATAACATTCTATTGTCCAAGCTTAGAAAGGTGCGGAATCGAGAAGTACGTTTGTCAGAAAAATTAAATTTGAAAGCACAATATCTGTGTCTACAAGTATACAGTGCTTTCGAAAAGTAACGAATAAATTCATTATTTTTTAAATTGAGAAGTTCTCAAAAAAATCCCCTGGCACGTCGATTTTGTTTTTAAAAAAGGCACTTTTTAACATACGACCCATATTTGTGACGTCATCGTTGTTGGAGATATGACGTCATCGACAATTTTTTTAAATAGCAACCCCCAATTTTGACCATGCCATTTGAAAGAGCGTATCATTCTACATACGCATCATGAAAAATTATGGTGTTACATAACAAAAATTTCAATAAAATAATGTTTGAAGATTTTAAAATTTAATTTTCACAATACTGAAAATGATATTGATTATGTAAAAATCGACTAAATTAAATGTTTAAATTGTGCACCGTTGGCTGCCTGACAGTACCCAAGACGATTAATAAATTCTTTTTGGACATTATCAATAACTTCAGGAGGTATACGATGTATCTCGTGATGAATTCTTGCTTTTAAATCATCTAAATTAACCGGTCTAGTAACGTATACTTTGCTTTTTAAGTATCCCCACAGGAAATAATCTAGGGGTGTCAAATCAGGCGATCTGGCTGGCCACTCAATCGGCCCCCTTCTCCCTATCCAACAATTTAGAAGATTTAAAAGCAAGAATTTCTTACATAGTATATTTTATCTATGGTCTAATGTTTCGTCACCGTGGAACACCCTGTATATGAAAATATCAAACCTCAAAAAGGTTGTGTCGTAAAATGACACTGACACTGAGGAAGGCCACAGTTAATGACTTCTACAGGTTAAAAACTAGTAACACCAACATATTGAGAACCCTGCAAAACTTTTCATGTACCAATTTTTTTTGCATTTCAGTTTTTTTTTTAAAAGATTACCAAAATTTGATTGATTTGATTGAAAAAAAATAATCGTTTATGCCCTATATCTCAAAAACTACATGATACACACTCATGATTCATAAGAAAAAATAATTTTATTTTTTACGAGGTATCAATTCTTGATTTTATGATATTTTGATAAAAACTCGGGATACTATACAGGGTGTCTAGAAACTAAACTGACAAACAAAGATAGCAAATTGGTATGACTTTATATCGATTTCATTCGTCTTATCCAAAAATACTTCCCAAGGGAAGTAGGGCTGTTTGAATATGGCCCCTTGACATTTTTTTTAATTGTTCTGAGAGAAAAAGAGTGATCGAAAACTAATTTCTAAATCTGGCGTTGACAGCATAAGTTACCGGTTGCTACATTATCTGTTTTCCAAAGCCAACTACTAAATATTAAAATAAGATTAAAAAAATATAATTAAAAATATCACTTGACCCTCCCAAATGTGACACTTATGGTTACTATTAAAAGATCATTTTTACATCTAAAGGCTATCTGTATGAGTTAACACATAACCTAAGTTTGACCCATCTAGATAAACAATGATTTGAACAATTAAAACAGTAATAATGTCAAAGAGCCATCATCAAAGAGCCCTACCTCCCTTAGAAAGCATTTTTGGATAAGACGGTTATATCAAATCGATAAGAAATCATCCCTAGAATTTGGTGTCTTCGTTTGACGATTTAGTTCCCTGTATAACTAAAAACAGACAATATTTTCCTGACATCTAAATGCTCAGACAAGTTTATAATTTCTGAACAATGGTTTTTGCTTTATAAGGACTAATTCTTTAAACCATGCTCCCGACATTTGTCCCTAGGAAAATTGTTCTAAATTTTCAACACTTACAATTAGTTAGCAGTTAGTTCTTTGCAGATTTTCCTGATGCTCTTTTTATATTGTGCTACATCGTCTGTAATATCGATGTCTGACAATTGGTTCAAATTTGTTATATCATGTTCTAATTAAGTTGTAGTGGACTTCGCTGTGGCAGAATGTACCATCCTGGTGAAAAATTAAATTTTCATCTAGATACAATTTTTCAGAGTAATAGCCACAGATAAAGCAATAATTGCACTGGATGACGCACAGTGGCAGTTATTGCTTTATTCATTATTTTTGGTGAAGACTACATTTGAAATATCGGTTAGCATTCTGTACCGATTACTTGAAATGAACCATAAAATTTGCTATAGGACTAATGGTATAGAGATTTATGTAATCTAAAGCATCAAGAACTTTGCAGTTTATAAACCGGAATGTTAACATGAGGAAATATCTGAAAATAAGGGAGACCATCTTGCTTGGTATTGAAAAATTGTACTCGTATGAAAATTTTATTTTCCAGCAGCAGTGGATTCTACAGCTAAGTCAACTTGGTTTGAAAATAATAATAGTTTTTAACCGACCATTCAGTAACCTAGGCCTCAATATTATGATGGTGTGGTACAAGATAATGCATTAAAAAAATATCCAAGGGACAAATCGGTGGCCAAAATTTTGAACCCTTATGCCAATTTTGCATATTATTTCTAAGATGAGATAAGACTTGGGTACATATCACTAGCATTCAGAAACAGAATTAAAGTTCATACAACTAGTCCATAAGTCCAAAAAAGGCCCACACAATCTTCAATTGAGAAACCGTTGTCTTCTAGGATCAAGCAGGAATTAATATTGTTGAATAAAAAGTATATATATAGAACCAAATTGATGAAATATAGTCTGATTTGTATTAAAAAATTATTCTTTTCAAAATGTATAACTTTACAAAGCATCCAAAATCCATCCACAGCAATTATAACTTCTCTGAACTGAACCACATGCCATTATGGCAGCATAAGTACTTTAAAGTCAAGGAAAATAAAATTATCAAAAAAACTCGTACTTTTCGATATATTTTCTACAAGATTAAGGAAAGGTGATACTTACTCACAATTTCCACGATGAATATCTTACGAACAATTTCCTTTTCCAAACATCTGTATAACCCGCTGATGCTCCTGCTTGATGAAATAACATCTAAACGGCCCTTAGTAACGTTCAACTTTTTCCAAGTGTTTTCTTTGTCTGCCTCATTCAAATTCTTTATTTCACATTGCAAACCCTTATAATTTGATTCGCACGACTGCAATAAATACAGAATTAAAAAAAATGTTTAAATGGTTTTTTGATTATTCAGTTTAAGTTCAAGCAAGGGCGTCGCCAGCCAATGGGCAAGATAAGAGAGAGGATGGGAGAAATATACTTTAAAGGTAGAAATAGGTATGTATAGTGAATTAATTTTTTTTTTAATATTTTTAATAAAATCATTTTAAAATACAAGAACAAAAAAAATATAAATAATTAAAAAAATTCAACGAAAATTAGGTAAAACATCTTGGATTTTTTGAAAATTTGTCGACTATATTAATAAAATCTTCATGGTTGTCAAAAATAAGCGACGGACGATAATAAATATAAGTCGAAGTTTGCAGTTTATCTATAATTTAAAAATAATTAAATACAAAAATTTAAGGATTGATAATACTCTTCACAATTCAAGTTTAAAGCTATGAAGCTATTACCTATATTATTGAAAATATATAAATTTCTTAAATTTATGGGTAAACCTACAAAATTAAAAATGTTTTTCATTCCCCCTATCTAAAATTGGTGCGTTACATATATAGCTTTAGTTGCACTGTTAAACTTTTATTCTGATTCCGATAGATACAAATTTATTTTTTTTTTCATTTATAATTCCAAAGCTAAATTTTTAAAATATGGAAATGTATTACTTTTTAAAATAACATTTTATATTTTTAAATTTTTTTTGTCAACAAATATACTATTTTATTACAATTGTTTTTTAAAAAAATAAAAATAAAGTAGTATATTAATTTTCAAAATAAGTAAGGAAATAAAATATTTTATTAAAAATTTCCAATCTAATTTCTTAGATTAAGAAAATTTTTGTGTCTACTATATACAGGGCTGGAAAATCCACATGGTCCATTTACGTTTACATGAGAGCGACAAACTAAAGTAAAGAACTCCGTGCGATAGACAAGGATAGCTATAGTGAAGACGTTTCATAATCTGAATAGTCACCGCCCGTTTCGGGTTAGGAGTGGGAGTGACTATTCAGATTATGAAACATCTTCAGTGTAACCATCTTTGTCTATCGCACGGATTTCTATGACTTACTTTATCGCTCTCACATAACGGCCGATGTACCATGTGGACTTTCCGAACCTGTATATGTTGAGGTACTCAATTATATTTTAGTGTTTAAAAATGAGCATGATTACCCTATACTCCCAAACTACTCCTTTGTGATGGCATTTTAAAGTAAACTGTGTTCCATTCTTCACTCTTATGTTTTGAACTTCTGGTTCAACCACATATGGAGAATCATTAGAGTATCCTAAAAAAAAATAACTCAAATAAAATAAAAAGACATAAAGGGCAGGTATATGAAACTAATGTGTAGATTGGAAATTGTCTTATGTAATTTAAACAAACAAGTTTGCACTTTGTTTATAAAGTTTATTGAATTTGACTTGCTGTTAAGGCCAAAATTCTAAACTCTTGATACCACAACAAAGCAGTGATACTGTCTAACTAAAAATGGGATTATAATTTTAATGTAATCATGGAGAGTCTGAAAAATAATTTTATCAAATGTTTCACTGTTAGAATAGCGCTGGGGGCAAATGCCTTTAAAAAAATAAAATTTGTCAATTATTGTTCCCCAAGAAAAATTTTCCAAAATAATAGTTATTTCAGTTTTATTGCAAATAAAGCTAATGTAGAAAAAGGGAAATCATTTTTCTTAGAAATGCCGCGTTAGATTACAAGCGTGATCTAATTCGAAATAGGTACCTACCCAGTTATGTCGCATTTATGGAATTTTTAATGATAGTCGAAGTTTTGCTACTCTATCTACATCATCTCTGAAGACTATTTGTAAAACAAAGCGTTTCTGGAAACTTTTTCAAAGCACCTATTTTTGTTATTTTGACTACTGAAATTCAAATCTTAAATTTAGCAGCCAATTAATTCTGAAACTGTACTAGTACGCCTACATTATTCTTTATACTGCATATAAAAAATACCAAATAATAAATGCGTAGGTAAATAAAATTGAGTTACAACTCCTAAAATAAATTAAAAATCCTGAACGTAACTGAATCAGCTGATAGTTAAAAGAAATTATATATGTAATTTGAAAAGAGTGCGTTAAATAATTAATTTAAAAAATATCATGTTGTGAATAATAAAAATTAATAAACAGTGTAATCTTGAACATATCGCATTTCCCGGAAACATATCAGTGATATTTATATTTGACTATCTTTTCTAAATATTTCTTATTAATAATTTCGTTTTTCTTTTAAAAGAGACTTACAAATAATTAATATAATAATAATAATAACAATAATAATTTTTTATCAAAACGCAGCACACTTGCACAAACTGTCATCCAATTTAAATTTTTTAATATTTTACTATTATAATCATACCGTATAGTTAAAAAGTACATAAATATATGCAATGTGCGTGTAACTGTGTAATAAATAACGTATGTATACTATGTACATATTTATTTTTATAGTGAAGTATTTGTTTTTATCTACTAAATTGACATCAGAAATTTTTCACTCGGTCCAAAGACCTATACGCCGAATATACTTGGAAATTGGTTAGTTTAAAGTAGGTACTCAGAACTTAAAAAATATGTAAATTAAATTTCATAAAACTATACAGTTTGCTCGAATTAAGAAATTATATAAAAAAATTTCAACAATAACGCTGTTATTGTTATTAGGCTGAATGAGTTACATTAATAGATATGAAAATACAGTACATAACATACATATAATAAAACACTATTTAATGAGCACTTTGGTTTTATTTTTATTGAGAATATTTAATATATTGCTGCTAAAATTATGTATTTTAGTGTTGTTTGTAATCAGTAAATTATGCATATAAAATGAATTAAAGTAAGTATTAAGTAAATATTAACTACTTTAGTTTCGTGTATTCTTTCTTAAATTATGCGTAAAAAGTTCTTGAATCATTAAGAGGGATTAAATTTAAATTATTAAATTGTTAACTTTTATATTCGTAGTATGTAGGTAACTGGCGGCGACCGAGTCTTGGTATAACAACCCGAAAAACCGCCATGTATAGCTCCAGTACTTTTATAGTTTATTGCATTTTAATATTTTTCAGTGTTCTCTTCCGTCAAGAGGTGTATTTTGAATTTATTTTTATTTTTAACAATTTGTAAATGTATTCGATATACGCAGTGTTTTTTAAGTCCATATTTCAGAAATTCAAGGGCATGTGCTTTGGACCAAGTTAGGCCAAAAAGTCTTAATAACCCAGGGCCTAATATACACAGAAGAATACTTTTAAATCGCGAAAATTTAAATTTTGAAACTGGTTCCTACATTAAAAAAAGTATCTTCCATTTTGTTCGAAAAACGAGTCATTGCCAAACTATGAAAATTTCCGGAAAGTTTCCACTGAAAATTCCGGAAATTTTTCGAAATTTTCAAAAAATATTTTTTGAATTTGTGTTGTGTTCTACATACCATCAGCTTCCCAAAACGATGAAATACTTATTTTTGTTTATGTTGGTATAAATATTGGAAAAATATAAAGTATTAGCAAAAATTACATCTCGCTCTATTATGTAGATTGACTTATTTCGATAATATGGTCTTCCGGTATTCCGAATTAACAATTAACCAAAAATCCGAAATTAACCAACGATTTTTTGAGGTTACGTTCACAGAAGTAGTAAAATTGGCCCCAAGTTTAAAAATTGTTGGAAATATCCCTACGGAAATTTTTCCGGAAACTTTCTTGGGAAAATTTCTAGTTTCGATTATTTCTTCCCAGAAAATTTCCGTTTTGGAAACTTTCCGGAACGGAAAATTTCTCATTGCTCAGAAAATAATTTTAAAACTATTCGATTCACAAAAATATTTACGGTAGTTTTGTTCCAAATTTCCAATTTGTAATCATCTGTCCAAATTTATCATTACCGTATATTTCTAACTATCTAAAGGTTATAGCGAGAGGGTAAAACTTACATAAAAATTTAAAATGTTTACAATGTACCTATTTAAATTAGAATTTTTAACAAAAAATCCCAAACATTTTTTTTTTTAAACGAATAGTTTTAGAGATATTTTAAATTTATTCAACTGTTAGTCCAGACGGTATCTGTTTCAAAAAGCCATATTTGGGTGAATCGTATATCCACGGTGATTTTTGGCTTTTTAGCTTTGAAATATCACTATAAATGAAAATTTTTCTATGCGCATAAAAAAAACGTGGGCTTAACTTTTGGCGGCATAATATGTTAAAAAAAAATCGAAAAATGTAATATTTTTCTTCCTATTTAATTATGTATCTTTTCAAGAGTTGATTTTAGGCGAAAATGGAAGAGGAAAAAAATTTTTGCAATTAAATTTTTTACAAAACATGTCTAGTTACAAATCGAATAAATCATGTTTATAATGTAAAAATCGAAAAAATCGCAAAAATGTGGTTAAAAAACAATACTTTTTAGGGAATTTTTTTGGGGTATTTAAATTGGGTATAGGAAATTGCAAATTTTCAAATTTTTGCACAGCAAAAACCAAGGCCCTTAGATACTTGAAAATTTAATCACATATAGAAGGGCTCTCAAGCTTTCAAACTTTTTTTGAAAAATTCGAATCCGTCAATTAGGAGAGCTCTGGCGCTTGTTTAAACATTGGTCGAATTTTTGTACTTTTAGAACTTTGTGAATAATCAATCAAATCAAATTTTTTAAACCAGGTTTTAAAAGTTTTTGGAAAGACGCTTCTTAAAAAAAAACAGAACGATTGATCAATTAGTTACGTAGTTATAGCCGTCATTTACCCTAAATGTACTGGGACATCCAGCAATTTTTTTTTCAAAATCTGGATTGCAAAATTATTATGCAAAATCTATCGAACCGATTTTGATGAAATTTGATGTGATAATTCTACATAACATGAAGTTTTTTTGAGCCAAGTATAAAGGTCCTATATCCAATTTAAATACCCCAAAAAAATTCCCTAAAAAGTATTGTTTTTTAACCCCACTTTTTGCGATTTTTTCGATTTTTACCATAATAATCATGATTCACTCGATTTGTAACTAGACATGTTTTGTAAAAAATTTAATTGCAAACATTTTTTTCCTCTTCCATTTTCGCCTAAAATCAACTCTTGAAAAGATATATAATTGAATATGAAGAAAAATATGACATTTTTCGAATATTTTTAACATATTGTGCCGCCAAAAGTTAAGCCCACGTTTTTTTTTATGCGCATAGAAAAATGTTAATTTCTAGTGATATTTGAAAGTCAAAAAGCCAAAAATCTCCGTGGATATACGATTCACCCAAACCAAAACAGGTACCGCCTAGTCTATGTGTTATAAACTCGTTTTAAATTTAAAAGATAAATCAAAAATGCTTCGCTTTACAAATAAAATGGAAGATGTCTTTTTGTTACAAATACAATTAACATCAAATATTAAATATTGCCTCTAACAATTTTCAAATAAACTCAATATAACATAGAAATTCTGTAGGTTCTGTAAATAGCTTGGATTTTTAATTGCAGTGCCTTTAAATGTATCCGCCACTACTATATAATATTTAAGCCACTAAGATACTTGAATAAATGTTATATACCAATTTTTTTAATTTCAATATCCTGCACCTCGTACAAAGCCAAGATATTATAGATATAGATATAGCTTGGATATTTGGACAAAAATAATAATCTAAGCAGCAGGCCTCTTAATTTATAACATAGACTACACCCTGTCAAGGGCGGATCCCAAATGGTCCGAAAAAAAAAATCAAAGATCAAACAATGAATTAATAAAGATAAAAATTTTTTGACTGCATAACTTTTTTTTATAGACATCAATTATATAAACGCCCCCAAAAGTCCATCTCTGGATCAGCTCCTGCACCCCGTATTATAGTCACTAGACCCCGTAATACTGAACTGCCGCGCTGTAGCTAGCAAGAATGAAAACTATGATATTAACTATGCTTTCTGTTCAAATTTGCAAAAAAAAAAAACAACTGCTGAACTGAATATATTAAGATCGTCTAAAAATTGAAAAAAAAAAAACGATTTTTCCGATGTTTACCTAAATCATTACATTTATTATTTATTTTATTGTTTATATGAGTAAAACTTGACTTTCTTATTTTTTAAATAAGTAAGTTCTATTAACTAAAAATTGTTTATGATGATGTTAATTAAATTTCGTCCTTAAAGAGCCTGACAAATTCGACTTATGACTATTTTTTAAATAGAACATCCATATTTTATTTCATAATGTAATCATAATAGAAATTTACAGTGGTTATAGCTACAACGTTCTTATTATAATTTTCTTATTTTAAGATTAACAAAAATTAAGATGATGTGACTATATACACCGTTTTTTTGTGGGTTAAAACCATCTTTTATTCTTTTAATAATCCATTTCGAAGACTGTAGAAAATTATTTTTATCACTAACAAACAAATTTGTGATGTCGACTATTTTTAGCTTTTTTTTCAACATGAAATCATCTCACTTCTATATATCTGCATTATTGGACTTTGCCTTTCTGTGTTTGAATTGATTAGTCTCTAATTCGAATTGCAGTGGAAAATTCTTCTACAACGTACCTACTGCTAGGCAGATTTTATGTAACGCCTCTAAAAATGTTTCTAAAAACACTGTATATAGGTATCACATAATATGACCACTTCAACGTTTTGGAATTTTATATTAAAGAAAGCGTGTTTTATCATCAGTTTAGGCCGTTAAATTTAAAAAAAACGGCGTTACTATCACCTGCGATCATCGACTACCGAAAATATAGGGTGGCAAATCATATAACATAAATAAAACATTTTCACCTTTTTATTATCGCAGTTACGCCGTTTGGTATCCCTGTTTATTGGTTTAGTGCCGACTATAAAAATAAATCGTAAATTATTTGGAAGGCGGTAATTTCATTTCATTACGATAAGGTGTTTGTTTGGCGGTTATAAAACAATAAATTAAATATTTAAACTTCGACCAAACCTAAATTTAATCCGATTCCCGGGATCAAGAAGCAAATCCAAATATTTCTACTTACCTTCGCTGTCCAGGATATTCCCGCAATGACAGGCAACAAACAACAGGCAAACGCAACAGTAAACAATGGTGATCATATTTTCATAGTCGAAAACAAACAAAGATGCTTTATGGCCCGCGATAAATCTTCTTTTTCACTTTCAACTTTACAACAAACTAACTAGAAACTGTTTAAGAGGAAAATAATCGATTTATTTTAAATCCTCGAGGTCTGTCTTCAATCAAACAATCCAAACATTTACCGAAACGTCACAACAAATACGAGCGCTCGCTTTATTCAACGATATTTTCAGTAACAGAATGCGAGGTGTGTATTTATAATTTCATTTGATAGTGTTAACAAATCAACGTTGAAATAATGAGGTTTTTAATGTATTTGCATTTTTTCGAGCGCTACACTGTCGAACGTGTCATACTAAATTGTCTAATCTAATCTTTCGGTAATATAAACAGTAGAGATTTTTTTAAACTTTTATATGCGATTTTAAGTCTTACGCGTATTGTCTAGAAGGCGATATAACTACTGTATATAGATATTTATAAACGCGTGTAGGTACTTGTATAAATAAAATAGGTAACACCAGGGGAGATAATGTCCACAATAGATAACATAATCGATTTCGCTTATCTGTTGGGATAATGATATTAATCTAAGGTAAAATATTTTTCCTACTACTGATTTTATGGCTGGTAAATTATTTTATTGGAAGATTTTCTGGATAATAAAACGTAATTAATTCCGTGCAATATGTTTTCTTGTAGCACACCGTTTCCTAAAAATCAACTATCTCGTTGTATATATGATTCCGTACGATGTCCAAACAAAAATGTATGGACTACCAAAAAGTAGCAAACAAAGGACCTAAATCATATGATTACAATATCTTATTTTCACCTCTACATATCCCTACTCTCAAATTGACAAAATAAATTCATACTAGAAAATGACGTAATTACGTAGATTTAGTCTTAAAAGTACCTATACAGGGCAACTTGGTAAAGTGAGGTAATTAATTGGGTACCAGGTGTTCCGGAGAAAAGTTTTCACATACCTACTCATTTCTCAAAAATATTCAGAAATATTTCAATTTGGATTGCGAAGGGGCAATTTTTTTACAAATTACTTCAAAAGCGGAATAATAATCACTTAAAAAAACTTAAAATACAAAAGTGAAATGATACTCTCTAGGATACACTATTTTAAAGTTCTTTTCATTTTATTTTCAAAGGCGATTTACATGCATATATTTTTTTTAATTATAAACTGATACTGAAACAATGCGCTTCAACGATATTTGATCAATAACACAAAGTAAAATTACATGGAATAAGGCCATACAATCTTACAATTTTAGTTAAGAAAAAATACGAAATCTTGAAAACCCTTAAAATTTTTATTTCGATTTGATAAGTTACATTCATTGAATACCTCTGCCGTACCGAAGAAATCGAGATTTAAAAAAATTCTTATGAAACCCAACTGATGTTTTTCTAAAATTATATGTATTTTCCATTAACAAAGAACTTTTCCAATAATTTGCTTATGTCACCAACTGTTATATATATCGTAATGATTTCCTTATACAGCGTGTTTTACATACAGTGATCACTCACTAGAATATTTTATACTAACGCCTTTTGACATTTTCCCTTTAAATAAAAATTGTATTTTTGGTCACATTTTGCACACACACCAGAAGTTGAGACCAACTTTATTTTAAATAGAATATCAGAACGGCCGTTGAGAAAATTAATTTGTTTTACTAAAAGTAGCTACAAATGTCTGGAACAACTAAACAGCTTGCACTGTTGAAATCACACATAGTTTGGTCATTGAGCTTTGCAAAATTATTCTTAAAATGGATAACGCATGACATAGTCTTAAAGAAATCTGCACCAAATTAAGAATTTAGAAACTTTTCAAATGAAAAAAATCTAGTGATTAGTACAATTTAAATTCTGAATCAAATGATTTCAAATTATATTTCCCACTAGTTTTGAGTTTTCAACGCGATTATTAAATATTATGCAGCAGTAAAAGCAAATCTCGGAAATTGTATATATCACAGGAACAATGCCATCATATGGATAACAATAGAAATGACATAATAGGTACCTACATCCTGTACCCATCTCATTAATTTTAAGATTTATCTGGCATAATTATGATAAAGATGTATATTATAAAACATCTATTTTTCAATCTTTTATTATACTTAATGATATTTTATAAATTACTAAATCTGTAAGAAACATAGGTACTTATATGGATATAATTTTAACAATTATATTTGTTTACAGATGATAGGTATATTTTTGTGAAAAAATATATAATTTTTTGCATATCAAATAGGTATTTATAATAATTCGATAAACAGTAATTTATTTATAACTAATAAAAAGGCAGATAAAATAAAAAAAGTTTTTTAGAAAAACTCGATTTTTAATAAAAGAACTGCTGAGAAAATACATACAGAGGATATTTCCTAATATCTTTTCACACAAAAGATAATCCTCCATACAATTAAATAAATGTCAACTAAACAACGTTAAAAAAATAATATTCATTCTATAAAATTTATCGCTAAATAAATGTCAATTAAATATCAATTTAAAATGAAAAATTGAAAAACATTTAAAAAATGTTTTGTTTGCACCATGATTTTCAATTTCCAATCACAAGGGGTACATGTTAACAATAAGAAATGTTTTGTACAATCAAATGTATGCCATCCTTATTCTAATAATATCTTCTTTACAGACTACTTCAGTAAATATATTTTCATGATTTATACGAGATATTTTAAAAGATATCATGTGTAAATGGTTTGTTTAAAAGTGTACTGGTATTTAAAAAGTTACTTACCATAGTTTCCAGTCTGTCTAGATCTAGAATTATAATGGATTGTGCAACTACTACCTGTAAATACATAAATACCAATAATGATCTAGATCTAGATAAGTTTCTCCGTTTATTAAATTTTTATAATTCAACTGAAAATAAAAAAATAAAAAAAAACTCAATTTAAGCATGTATTACTTCATGTCAAACAAAAAAATATTATTTATTATTTTGGTCATAAAATTCACAAACATTGTGTTGATTAATATTATCGTTCAAATTAAAATTTTTACAGGAAAAGCAAACTTATCCACAAATTTTGCCTTCTTTTTTTTCAGAGAAAGCGTCAATTATTATATTTCAATTTACTTATTGTATTAACAAATGATGCGGAAAACAACTACCCGGCGGACTAATGCTCCAACCAGTACTGAATTACACACAATATCTAAACAACTAAGATTCATTGAGAACCACCAAGCTTTTCATAATAGCCTAAGCATTAAGTAGTAATGAATATTTAAGATTAAAGACATTGCTATTGGCGATGAAAGCCAAGTGCGCTAAGTTAAAATGTAAACAAATACTTGAGATTTTATGCAAAATTATGGCATTCTTTTTTGTTTAACCCCTTCATGCTTCTGCCCGCATGTGACTTGGGATTGCTCATATGTAGTTTCTGCTTTACATTCCCGAATTAGACTCGGGATTCATTTTAAAAGCACATTTACATACACAGTTTTCAACATTGAAAGTTTTGAAGGTTGTACTATTTATTCATAGATGTCTCTCGAGATCAAAATATTTCTCTCAATTCTCACATGAAGCCCTAGGGCCCGTTTTTTGAGAAGTACTTTTCTGTTTTATAGAAAATGCCTTCTACATTAATGTTATGTGTTGGATGAAGCTCTAAGTTATCAATTTTCAATCTGCACCCTCAATGTACATATAAATTGGGTTTTTGAACAATAATTTTGAAAACTGTAAAGTAGAAGAGTATTTCTGCTTTTTAAAAAATAGTACCTTATGTCATTTAGTTTTCAACTATGCACAACATTTTGTAAAGAATATTGTCTATCAGCAAAAAATCAATTTGAATAATTTTTCATTAAGTATTGGAACCGGTAGTAATCTTGCATTCAAAATAATTTGCTGGATCATTTTTGGTTTAATGAATCATAAACAGATTAAAAAAGAAGGCTGAGCAACTTATAAAAGGAAGAATGCTGCAGAGAATACATTTTAGAGGTATGAATAATTCTTCTCTTAAATAGACACGTACAGGATGTAACTAAAATACTTGGCCAAATTTTAAAAACAGATTGATTCTACGTTACATGTCAACAAAGAGTTGCTGTAAACAAATATCTGGAAAGTATTCATTTTCAATATATCAAAGTAAGACCTGTCAGTTAATAGTTTAGATCAGGGGTGCTCAGACTTGTACTATCGGCGATCTACCGCAAAAAAATTGAATTATATGTCGCTAAGAAGTATCGACATCTTTGGATGTCGATGCATGGCATTGCATGTCATCAGCGTACATTTCATAAGATGGCATGTGATTGCTGATTGACAATCGCAAAAACGATGACAAATGTTCGTCAGTAAGCCAACTGCGATATTTGGATTTAATAATTTTCATTTCAGAAAACGCAAATTCGCATAGATAAGTTGATCCAGTTATTTGAAGCGCAATTTGTTTTAAACGTGGACATTTATCTTCAGATATAAAAGATTTTGGATCACTTGCTATTGCTTTGAGATGTAAGTATATCTGAAATCATCTGTAATACCTCATTTTCCACAAAAGACAAGTCTTGCTTGAAGGCGTTTGATATTCCAGTAGCACATTTTTCAATGTCTGCACAAGAAAACGGATAGCTTATGATAGTTATAATATTCGTCAATTTGTTAAAATCGGAAAACCTTCTTTCAAATTCATTCAGAGTATTTCTTATTTCTGTCTCATAAATTTAACTGACGACTGGCCTTTGCTTTCAAAACCGGAAAATTTTTCAATCTTTCATATTTGGTCGACTAATCACTAATTTACTTATAAAAGCGATTATTGGGCTAATCAATCGGTAATAGTTTTATTTTTCCGTGTAACTCCAAGTTAATGTAATAATAAGGAATTAATTAAATATTATTATTATGCCACCGTATGAGTGGCTGACGAAAGCGGTTGCTTTATAATTCCATTTGAAGGTAATTTATTTAGGGAATATGGGTATGTCTTCGCGATCGACTTCTGATGCTATCGCGATCGACCGTGTGAACACCTTTGGTTTAGATAAAAAACAATTTCTAGACAATAAAGAGTGACAACTTAACATTCATTTGAGGTTTATGTTTACAACTTAACTTGCACTAAGATAGGTATGTATATCAGTTACTTCAAATGACTCCAAAGATGATTAGAAAATTACTTTTACTTTTAAAAGTACGATTTAAAAAGTATTGTAGATTAAGAAACAAAATTACTCTTCATTTTTCGTTTTTCGGTACCTAATTGAAAACGAGAAGGAGAACATAATAAATACTCTTCACTTTTCATCTTTTTGCTCTCACTTTTTTGAAACCATAAACCATAAAAATGATAAAACTGAAAAAAAGCCCAAAAAGAGAAAAATAATGGGTGAAAAGTTGAAAAAATAGGCCCCTGGTTACATGTTTATACAAATTGTGACTTGCGCAAACTGTTTTCGCAGACTACATTTTTATTTGCAATCTCTCAGCGGTATTTTAGCGAGTATCTTTCTTCTGCACTGAAATTTGGACTTGTCTTTATCACACCAAAACGGCAACACGTAAAAACAAATATTTTTAAGACAAAATAAATCAAATTTAAGTAAGTTTATATGCTTACAATTAATTAACATTTATTTAATTTTAAAATAAAAACATTTACAAAATAAATCTAGGAGCCCTAACAACTAAATGTTGAACAAGCTAATATTTCGGAAATAACACAATGGCTTATCAAAACGACTGTATTATTTTGTTTATACTTTTAAATACCAACATAACAATATATCCTAGACTATTTGAAAATGTTTCTATGCCTTGATAAAGCAATCGATATTAACAGTGGAGTACTTTGTCACTTAAGGGACAAATTTGCTGACAACTAAATATTGAGACAATTCGAGAATAAAACTAAATTTAACACACACACATCACCCTTAGCTTTAACAACTGCTTGGACTCTTGCAAGCATTGTATTGACCAAAGATTGACACTTTTCAACAGAAAAGATTGTCCCATATCTCTTGTAGTTTTGTCCGTAAATCAGAAGTTGTGCGTTGGGGGGTGGTTTTTTAAGTATTGTTTCATTTTATGCCATACGGTTTCTATCACATTTAGATTTGGACTGCTGGCTGGATGGGATAAAACCTTTATATTACTGTCACCAAACCATTTTTTGGTTGATTTTGCTGAATGACATGATGCTCCATCTTGTTGAAATATGAAATCATTGTCAAGAAACAGTTTTTGGGCACTAGGTAAAAGTACGGTTTGAAGAATATCTTGATATTTTTGGGCATTTACAATGTCCTCTATAAATTTTAATATACCTAAACCCCTTGCCGACATGTAGCCCCAAACCATAATTCCCTTTGGAAACTTAACATCCCTTTTCAGGCAATCTTTATAGAAGGCTTCTGTTTTATTCCGTATTATTTGTTTACGATGGTCTCCAACGCAAACATCAAATTTAGCCTCATCACTAAATATTATTTTGTTCCACTCATTTTCTGTCTAGAGTAGTTTAGATATTGCCCAATTATATCGGTTTTTCTTTTGAACTTCTGTCAACAGCGGTTTTTCTTTAGCCTAAATAAACTATTTTATGAGACTTTTGATACTGTATGAGCCATTCAAAATTAAACATACCTTGTAAAACCTCAGACCACAGTTATGAATATATTTTCGCAACATTCTCTAGATATATTTAATCCAGTTGCCGTATTCCATTGAGCAGTTATTTCTCGAAGGGTGCTTCTTCTCACTGACTTGCATATTTTGACTAAATTTCGCAAATCTCTTTGAGAAACAAGTTTTGGTCTTCCCGAACTTTTGCCCTGAACATCCATATTAGCAGTCTCACCACATTTTTTTACTATATTATATACTGTGCTTTTTGGAATAGTTAAATCACTAGCAATTTTACGCATTGTTTTACCCGTATGGTATTGCTGAATAATAATTTCATGAATTTCTAGTTCGTAGCCTTTCCACGACCCATTATTTTGATTAAATTAATGAAATTTAAATCTGTTAACGATTACTAACATCACTACTTAATGTTTTGCATTAATGACCAACTGTCAGTGGGCAAACAAAATAATTTTGACGTTTATACCAAAGCTCCTATAACTAAACATTTTAACTGCAAGATTTGTGCTAGTCCCAACATTTAGTTGTCAGCAAATTTGACCCTTAAATGACAAAGTACTCCACTGTTAATATCGATTGCTTTACCAAGGCATAAAAACGTTTTCAAATGGTCTAGGATATATTGTTGTTTGTATTTAAAAGTATAAACAAAATAATTCAGTCGTTTTGATAAGCCATTGTATTATATTCGAAATATTAACTTGTCCCAACATTTAGTTGTTAGGGCTGGTATTCATATTTACTTCAGCATGTTTTTATAAAGAGTGATAGGTGAACTGGTAAATTACGATTACATTTTTTTCCATATTAAAAATATAATAACTAATCTCAACTTATTCAAGAGAATGTATTAATTTTCAGTTTGTTTTTATAAAAATACATAAAAGCTTAAAAAAATGTGTAGTGTTTTGTCACTGACACCATTCTACAATTAAAATTAATGTTGAGATTTTGCTGATAACTCTTTACATAATTTTTATTCGATGTAAAAAATTTTTTTGGAATATACGCCATTTTCATCAAATTGTGAAATATTAGACTATGGATGTTATTACAGAAAATTTCTTATTTATATAACTTCCATCTGTCCTTCTATTTCTACATAAAAGAAGTATTGAGAATTGAGATTTTAGTTGCGCTTCCTATTAATAGATGGCACAACTGAGACCTAGTTTAACATGTCACGGCTGTCCACCAAATTCATATCACTTTTTTTAAATTGCTATAGTTAATGATTTCTTGCAAAAAAAAAATTAGTATCTGAAAATGTGGAAAACACCCAATTATACTACTATAGTTACTATTTCTAACATAAAATTTACATTTTATAGATCCTTTTAAAAAGACTTGGTCCACCGTACAAGGGTGGTAATAGCCCTGGCTTTATCAAAATACTTGTGCATAGTTCAGTTTTACAGAGAAATATTTGGAGGATTAATCCCATTTGTGAAATTAATTCGAATTTTACAAACAGCAACTATATGTAAATATATTTATATATTAAATGCAAGGAAACAAACTGACAGTACGTTAATGTCTGAATAATAATAATTAAACTTATATGAACCTTCTCCTAAACAATCGCAAGGACACTATCATACTTTTTCGTACATGACATGTTCTCTGTGCCGCCTCTCCATGTCTCTTTGTTTTATCCAAGTGTAACAAGCACTCCCAGCTAACACTATAGCGTTTGAGCTCCACCAAAGGAATGATTTTGTTTCATTATACCAAAAGGTGGCTAATACAGTTTGAGCACATGCTTTAGCTGTACCAGAAATGTTGTGTGTTAAAGCTGAGGTATACTAAAAACAAATCAATTTATATTAAAAGTTAACAATTCCTTTATAGATACATTTATTTATATACTATGGCCCATTAAGAATAAGGATACACCTCTACAATTTTATTCGTATGCGCAATTTGATTTTTTTATACAGGCTAGCCATAGGTTAATTAAGCTCAAAAAACGAAAGAAAATTATGCATATCCTTAGTGACTGACAAAGTTAAACACTATCACTGTCAACTATCTGGAAAACGCACTCTGCGCCTTCAAGATGTAATTGATAAATGTATTATGATGATTCATTTGGTAATCCATAGCCTGCAGATTTGTTTTTTGACAATAATATTAGGGATTTTTTATTATCTGGCTTAATTAGCAATACTTAAAACCCCAGTATCTTGAATTCCAGTGATAAAATTTGAGCAAAAAGTTTAGATTTTTTTTAAATCGTAAAAAACAGCTGAAGTAATTTTATTCAAATTTGGTTGTAGTTTCTATTTTTTATTATCCATAAATGTATATGCATAGTTATGTTACATAAGGAGGCATAGTTCCGGGACATAGTAATTTCATTCATATTTTTCTCTCCGTAAGTAATCCATTCTTTATCAATAAAATTAAGTACTTATTATTCACGATTTTCTCAACTGTTTTTTGTAACATGAAATAAATCAAATATTTTTGATTAGTTTTAAATAACCTATACAAGGTGTCCCACATAAGAACCGACACAGGGCAGGTGCATGTAGGGGTGTCCAAAATGTTGTAATTTAACCAAACTTACCTATATACAAAGTTACACTCCTGAGGATTTATTAGCCCCAAAGTGGTGACCTAAATTACGCAAAAAATGCAACACTTTACCGCAGAAGAACCAAATTTGGTACATGATTTAGGTTTATTACTGGTCTTCTTTGACTATGATTTAAAGTTCATTGAAGCTCTAGAAAGTGTTCATTGGGGATAACTCACCCCTAAAATTGTACTGAACTTTTTTTCATTGACGGAATTGAAAAATAATAATATTAATTCACAGAATTTAATTTTAAAAATTTTTTTACTCTTGTTAAATTTTAAAAAACGTTTTCAAGAAAAGCCGTATTAACGGAAATAAGATTTTAACAGTGTTTATTAGAAAATAATCGAAAATTTAAGGCTGCAGTTATAAATTGAACATAAATTGCTTTGTTGCTGTATAGAATATTTTTAAAATATCATTGTTCCTAAAGGTCAAAGGAAGCCTCTGTATAAATATGACCCCCCCACTGAAAGTTACACGATAATGAATAGTACTTATGTTAAATAAATGTACGTCTAGTAGAATATTTAAAAAGATTAAATACAAAATAACATTGACTTCACGCTGACAATTACAGTTACAAGTGAGAAAAATCGAATGTGATACTTCATCGATCTAAGGACTTTAATCATTGAAATCATCTTCAAGTAATTGCAATTCCTATTAGATTTTTAAACCAAAACTTAAAAAATAAATAAAATTGAAACTTTAAAGATGCATAAAAAAAATCATAAAACGATATTCGGAAAAAAATTTCTAAAAGAAAATCGCAGCAAGGCATGGGTTACCAATGTATCATTGTAACTGGTTCAAGAAATGCACTAGAAGGTCACTAATTACATATAAAAAATATGTATTCAAATTGTGTATTCCAAAAAATTTTAAAAGTCCTGTGTTCTCAATTTCATTTTTAAGTTGCATATTAAAAACACTATCAGAGTAAATGCTTACCTTAATTTGTAAAGTGGTAAAAAATCCTATCATAAATCCACAGATACCTCCTATTGTCATAATAAACCAAAAATAATAGTCAGAGAACCCAGGATAGTTCATTAGCTCTGACAATTCTCTATTGAATATCATTGTAGGAACTAACAATATAGATGCATAAACATTATTTGCATAAGACAATGCCCATATCTCTCCATTTACTTTTGGCAAAACCTTTTTAGTGAATATTGAATACAATGAAAGAGACAAGGAACCCAAAATTCCAAAAACAAATCCAGCTATTGATAAGCTACCTGAAAATTGAGTGTTTCGATTTATCGTGTTATGATTTATGAGGAATTACATTTTCTTACCAGCTAAATTCTCCTGATCAACTCCCAACCAAAATCCAAAAATTATAATACCACAACATAAAATACATCTCTTTGATGTCGTCTCTCCTAATATTAAATATGTAAACAATACGTTGAATATTGTAGTTAGTGATCTACCAATATAATAGTATGCTACAGAGGCATATTTTAAACACAAATTATTTGTGGCTATCATACTTGTGAATAATACTGATAATGGCAAAACCTAAAATTGGACAATATAAGTTTCTTTTACATAGTTAATATCAAGTTAATATTTACAGATTTCATAGTGTGTCCATCCCAAATGTCAATATCAGGGAATTTAAATTTATTTGGATACAATACACTAAGCATTTTTTTTAAATAACATATCAGTGCAGTGATTAATGTTTGGCTTAAAGCGATGAACATTGGAGCATCTAGATTTATATCGCTAAGTAAGGTCTTGTTCACAAACACAGTAGATATTGATACAATCCTGAAAAGAAATAATTACATTATTTATTATTCATAATCAATTATAGTTCTTTTAGGTATGGCTTTTTCCAAAATTTATTATTAAATAAGAACTTTTCTGTATGTGAATATTTGACGTGCTATTTGCGGGGTTCCCACTTTTGTCTTTTTTTCATTGTAAGTGAAATTTAGTTATCAAAATAGTGTTCACGATTTGTACTAGTAAAAATAATAAGAAAAAAAAAAGCAACTTTTGATAAACACTAAAATACTTTTTTGTGTTTACTGTAAAAATCGATAACAGATACCAAACATAATAGGTGGTGATAGGCAACCAGAATCACGAATATAATGTCACTGAAATGAACACATTTAAATAATCTATGCCACTACAGACATCTGTAGTCAATCCCTCGTCCGATGTTTGTTAATGAACGGTTTTGATATAGGTAAAAGTTCCGATATGTGACAGACCAAATCACAGGTTCTATCCTGTCAGTGTAGACAGGGAGAGATTAAATATTTTTATCGTTGTATGTACTTGTTCAAAAGTTATACAAAATGCATAAAAATTAATTTATCCATTGGAATAGTCAAAAGGGAATAAGATCCACTTCTTATTTGTGGAAGGGCGAAATGGGTGGTGATTATTAGACGCCTTCATTATAGCCATCTTTCTCTATCGAACGGATTTCTATGACTTTCTTTATCGCTCTCACGTAACGGCCGATGAACCATGGAGACTTTCCGACTCTGTATGTATTTTTTATTGATTTCTTATACATAGATACCTACTTATTTTCATTGTCCTGGCGTCCCTGAGAGATTACTCAGAATGCAGAGATATTAAAGTATATATATATACAGGATATTTCAATTAAAACTTTCCACTTGGAAAATATTGGAATTAAAAAAAAAACAAAAAAAACCTGAGACACTTAGATTTTCTTTTCGAAAGAGAATCAAAATCTCAGGTTTTCCTTTTGGTTTTTTTTCCAGGTGGAAAGTTTTAATTGAAACACCCTGTATTAAATGTATAAAGTAAATGATAGTTAGTATCTATGTGTTTATGACTTCATTTTTTATATTTAACATAAATTTACATTTTATATGCCTACCTGGAAATGAGTGCAAAATTTTAGGAAGTGATAGAACATCAAAAATAAGACGACTTTTTCAAATTTTATACATTAAAGCAAATTAAGTACTATTTGTATCATCTATTTATTTTTAATGTACAAATTTTATGTTACCTAGTGTTAAAATTATTTTTTTTACCCCATAACTTTTTAAGGAAGCATAATAATGGTACCATCTAAATCAATTTATTTTCATTCTAAGAATCTCCTCTTGAAATATGGTCCATTCGTTTTCAAACACCCTGTAATTTAAAAAATAGAAGCTGATTGACTTTGGGACAATCACTTAGTTTTTTTTTCTAAAACGGTGCATTTTAATTATTTTAAATATATTTTATTTGTGTAAAATTAAATTTTATATTATAATATACAGCATACACTGTAAAAAACCTAACATCAAAAAAGTTATGCTGTAAAATGTAACTATGGGCACTCGGTGAGATAGCAGCTAGCGATCTCATAAGATAATCAAGAACTAACGACTGTGACGTACAGACTAACAAATAAGTTTGCGTTTCTGAATCGGGCAGAGCTGCGTGAGATTGAGAAAAAATGCGTTCAGCTAGAAGTAAAAGAATAAGGCATAGGTACGGCAATTTGGATTTTGGACTAGTAGCTACCTGAAGCTTTTCCTTACCGTATCCAGGGCGCATTTGTGAGCGGAGCTATCTCAGACACAAACTTATTTGTGTCGGTCTGTTTTTCCATTTGGCACCATCAAAAACTTATGTGTTCCAAAGTTTAATACATTAAATTGTTGTTTTCTTGTAAAAGGTATGGGTAAAATTAGATTTTTAAAAAATAGTCGTTTACGTCGACTCTAGATCTATTGGCCCATAGCAAAAGATCGTCCTGTTTTTTAATGTTTGCACACACTTCGGAAACACCCCCCGTTTTTGAATGAAAAATATATAAAAATATATGGTCACTTAAATTAACAGGGTCTTGTAAAATAAATATATTATCATCTTTATCCTATTATTCAAAATATACTTATATGTCATAATAAAATCGATATTAGTTATACAAAAATGTAAATCAAATCGTAGTAAATCTTAATTTAAACACTCAAAGTAACTTGGGGGTATTAAGTGTAATAGTTTAGCCTATTCTTGTAAAGATATGAAATAAGAGTATATGTTCTGAACGTACTCCAACGAACAGAAATATTACAAAACTTTAATAAAATAAAAACATAACCTTAAACGCAATGTATTAATAAACTTACATTTAATAATAATAGGAATAACTCAATTAAACATTTATAAATATTAGAAATAAATTTAAAATTAACTTACCAATAACCGCTAACTATCAGAAATATAGTAGTATATTTTGACAAGAGACTTTTATCGGCCAACATTGCACTATATATTTTTCACCTCGCCATGCACACATATAAATACTAGCTCCTAAAAATCGTTTGGTACAGAACTAAATTAACATTGCAAACACTTCAGTAAATAAATAATATTCGGATTAATAAATAACAAAATAAATTTTACATTTGAGATAACTTATTTATTGAAAATAGTTGGCTATACTGGCAAAAGTGACAAACCAATGACGGCCAAGCAGCTAATGGCAAATTGGCAAATGGTTGACAACACGCGACGCGGTAAAATACAAATATGAAAATTAACAAGTTTTAAATAACAATAAAAGATATGGAAATATTTTTAAAATATCACAGTTATGGTTTTGGTTTATCGTATACGGTAAGAGGACTTCCATGATGCAACCACATATCTATAGATTTATTTGCTATAATATCAGCAGTTTCTTCTGGAATCTAAAACACATCCATATTTTTTTAATTTGAAGAAAAATTTTTGGTGAATATTACTTACACTTTTCACACACTGCAAAACACCTACAAGGTTGTTGCATTTTAAAAGACGATGTTTTAAATTTGTTAATAACACAACCACAACGTATGCCAAAATTTTGTAGGATCCACCACAAATTTTGTCCCATATTCTAAAATAAATATTTAAAGAAATTTGTAAATCACAGAAACAGATTATTTACTTTGCTAATGCAGTTTCATTAAGTACTCCCGCAAAACAACAGTCAAACCATTTTGCCAAAGGTAAATTATCTAGGACTCCAATCTTTTGCAGATGTTTATATAAATCAGGATCTTCTTTTTCTAACAAATTATGGGAACATTCTATGAGTTTTGGAACGTCAGTCTGGAATTTGTGAACATTGTCATAAAAACTTTTTGCTATCCAATATACATCTGTCTCATCATCAAAAAACTGCATAACAGATTGTACTATGGGGACAAAACCTTTTTCATCGATTAAATTAATATCATAAGTAAAATTTCCTGTTTGTAATAGCCACATTGCTAAAAATACTTGTGGCTTCGAAGTGCATGAATCTATAATTCTCATCACATTGAGTGCTCGTAATAAATCATTGTATTCCTGTTTTCTCTGATCCATTACAAAAGCATGGCATTCTACGTGAACTGGAACTACACCTGTAATTCAAATATTACCGCTACATTACAATACTGCCACATGAAAATACATGAAATACCTAGTAGTAATTTCCATATCAAGTTTCTGTAAGCAGCGGGAAGGCAAAAGCGTAAACAAAACTGTTTTAATTTCCCACGATCCAGTGGTTTATCTTTCAATAAAATTTCTAGCGATTTCTTTTCTTCTACACTTCGAAAGCCTACTTTCTCGTAATATGTAGAACGAAAATTTCTCTCGTCAGTTGCCATGACGCAAGTATACCAACATAAGAAAAATAAAAACAAATAATCTTACTAATTACAAATTTATTTTAAAATATATTTAATACACATGCACCATTCCATATATAAATGTCCAACACAGAATGTAAGTGAAGAAATGTCCAAATATGCCATTTACTAATAAAGATTTCCTTGATGTAAAGAATTTTTTCCAAGAATCGATGCCTGCTTTGCACAGCAACATTAACCAAAAACTAGTCACAGCCAAAATAAAAAATAAGGCACCATATCCTCCCGTTAAACCGAGAACTCCTAAAACGGAAAATAGTAGACACCTACATTATTTTTCAAGAATTATTATTACCTGCAGTACAGCCCGAAACAGCAGCCACCGATGTTCTACAATATTCTACAATAGATAAATTATTTCTAATTGCTAATTCACTATAAGCAACTACAGGTTCATTTTTAGCTTTATTTGACATTTTGATTAGCACTTGTAATTAAATCAATAAAAATATCAAATCGGATAATCCCCAAGGAACGATTTAATAAATACAACACAATCCGTTCCGTGAGAACCCAACCCAACTTTATTTTTTGACATTTTGACAGAATCAACAAGACAACTAAACTTCGTTATGAGATGTTTGAACTACCGTTCTAAATGCTCGAAATATTTTTCGATTATAAGGGACGGTCCGCACAGCGCAGAATTGGAGAATAGTGAAACTGAATTTGATTTATCATTGAAATCGTAAAAAAATTCCTTATCCAGATTCCGTTCTGATTTTTGTATCTTGCGGATGAACCCCAACATGTAATAACTTGTTCGAACTTAATTTGAAGCCGGCTTGAAGTATAATACAAAATCTAAAAATCTCTGAACATTGAGAACTTTTATTGCAGACTACTGCATGTATTTAGGCTTAATTAAACTTTTATATTATATTCAAAATTTTAAGCAGTGATTCATTTTCAATTTGTAAATCTATACGATGGGGAATGTGACTCCATGGGTGTATCATTTTAGAGAAATTATTAAATATAGAATAGATGACGGTTTTGATTAAAATTAGTTTATTTTAGAAATCCAACATTCAAGTAGGTATCTTTTATGTATACTAATGTATTCAGCAATTCTGCACTTGTGGCAAAGATAGCCCACTACTACCTGTGTCTATATATTTATTTTTTTTATGGTGAAATGGGGCTGCAAAGAATCTAATTACATAGTATTGCAACAAGGCGTCGTAAAATTGTCAAAATCACTAAAACTACTGAAAGGACACTGAAAACTGAGACGCCTTCTGGAGTTGTGGGGAGGGTAGCAAAGCTACAGCACTTAGGCCCCATTGGGCCCCTTGTACTTCCTCCCATTAGAGAGATCAATCCAACTGAGCCCCCAGCCAGCCAATGAAAAAGGTGGTGACGTTGCTCAGGAGGATCTCTCTAATATAGGCCTTTCAAGGCCAGCGTTCTCCCAACATGGACTCTCTTGTTGACGAGACAGCAGTGCATTCACATAGTACATGCGGTACCGTCTTGTCTTCCTGTTCACAGCCCCTACAAAGACCATCCATGTGTGGTTATGTGGATATACACTGCCATAGTGAGGCCAATGTTAGCCTATGGGGCTGTCGTCTGGTGGCCGAAATCTCAGCAGACGACAGCTAGACAAAATCTCAGCCAAGTACAAAGGATTGCCTGTCTGAGCATAACTGGAGCTATGCGTACACCTACCATAGCAATGGAAGTAATGCTGTGTCTGCCACCTCTGGATATTTGTCTAAGAGAAATGGCTTTGACAACTATGCATTGCCTCAAGAACGTTGGCTTACAACCGGATGTAGGATATGGAGAAGTTAGAAGTCGCCTATGGAATGAAGTCGTCAGGAAGACGCCCCTTCTGCAGGCAGACACTGACAGTATTTCTCCCCGGTTTGCATTTGACAAACCCTACACCGTACTCGCTAAGAGACAGGAGGAGACCGCCCGTGGAGACATAATTAGTTTCTTCACAGACGGATCAAAAAGGAAGGAGGGTGCAGGATGTGGAATATGCTCTATATCCCTGCACATCCAATATCACTGGGCAATGGATAGGCATGCTACCGTTGTACAAACGGACTTAGCAGGCATAACCGTAGCCGCTAAGGAAATTGCCCGCAGGCATACTACGGGCAAAACCATTAGAATCTACACGAACAGTAGACAAGCACTACTGACCTCGCACAATCATAAGATAATGACTAGGACAGTATGGGAATGCCATGAAGCACTGAGATGCCTTATAAACAGGAATAACCACTTTAAATGTTAAGGGCCAAACACCAATCCCCATACGTTTATTAAACATAAATAGTAGTAGTTTTGATATGACTACTAATCAGAGGATGCCTTTAACATTTGTCTAAAAATGATTCACATTTGCTGTTAATATTTAAATATTGCCAATTCCGGTATAATATATTTTCATTTTCGATGTACGACACTATGATTTTTTTTAAATACTCTTCATCATCCTACAATTTCGTTCGTTCCTATTTGAATACTTTTTGTCTTTTCAACATTGTTGTCAATTTCAATTATTTTCCTGCCATGTGTTTTACTTTTATAACTTATGATTAACAGTTTTTTATTTGACAATTCTAGGGCATCACTCACTGACATTGTGTTTCGGGCTTGAATTCCCTAATAAAAGTTTATCATTCATGTTTTTGACTTGTTAAAATTGCTCAACACACACACAATTTCATTTTTAAAAACACATTTGGAATAACTAACACATTACACGATAGAATATGTCTACAAATCGAGAAATGCTGGTCATTTCCTCTTTTTATACAGATAACCAAAGACAGAAATCGGCGTTTGAAACAATGGAACATTTCAAGTATGCATGTGCAGGCTGGGCATATTATTGGAGCATTATGCGAAATGAATGGCACATTACAATTTGCAAAGAATACACAAAATTATTTTATCAGATTGAGAATTTGTAACAATCTTTTATTTATATGCAGGCCGATCCAAATTCAGAACAAAGAATTTGAGAACAAAATAAGACTTTTTTTCCTATAAACGTGTCCCAAATAAATTTAAAAATTTTTCACTAGTTATAAAATTTGAAAATATGTTGGGCATTTAACTTTTTTTTGCTTACAATTGATAGGGAAATAAACACACTAATACGAAACGTCAATGTACAGGGTAAGAAAAAAGTTAGGGCCAATTTAATTCAAGCATACCCTTATAGGTGGCGCTCTCTACAAGCAGTGTCAAAAGCAATGACATATTTAAATTTAGCATCCTAAAAAACACCCATATCCCAAGTTTTATGCGTACATTCAAATCTATTTGGAAATAATTCCTAAAAAATCGAAATAAACTTTGACACCGTGTATATCGAAAACTAAGCATTTGTGGACACACATTTATAGGGAAAAAAATTCTTATTTTGACCTAAAAAATACGCCACTAAATTCTTTGTACTGAATTTTATTAACGAAAATGTATATTGATTACATATAATAATGTATAGTCCTCACTGATGTATTCTCTGTATTAAATAATATAATTTATTAATAAACTTTAAAAAAAGTAGCAAACAAAATTGAGTAATACATTTGTACGACAAATATGGAATGAAATAAACTATATTTTGATTATTTTTTATAGACATGCAAGCATTAGATGTGTATTCAAAGTAAATATATTCAAGACGAATAGCAAAAATGTCTTTTATTTTGCTCTTCCTCTTCCTCTACGTGTTCCTCTGGTAGCTCTAACTGCACTGGATCCTCTACTAGTATTAGAGCCCCAACGACCCCTAGATCCTGGACCACTGTGAGGTTTACTTGAAGTGCCGGACACTACATCGTCATCATCTATTTTAACGATATTGCTATCATTATTATCTTCATCATCTAGATCAAGTTCACTACTTGAGTAACGCTGTTTCACTCGGTTTGGATCATTCAATATTTTGTGTACCTGTACACAACAATAAACAAATGTACAACTTCAATGCCATTTCTTCGAAAATATACATTAATTGTAAGAAAAAATAAATACACATTACAAATGTGTTCAAGATAAGGATTACTCTGAGAGAATTGAAAACTGTTTTCTTTTGTTAACCTTTTCATCAAAATGTTAATTTTGTCATCTAATCTTTTACTTTTGTGTTGCTATCATTATTATTGTACTTGCGTACTTTTAAAACCCATATTTTTTAAATATTTTTAATTATGCGTTCACTGATGGATTACTTAAGAAAGTTTCATTTTCATATGTTCTCCAAAAAATTTTTGATGACGACTGGACTGTGTTCTGAAATGTAATTAAACATACCTAGACAATTTCAATAATCTAGTAATAGTAATCATTTTTTAATTTGGTTCACATTTTCCCATTTTTTTTTTTTTTTCACCACGGCCAAATTACAAAAAAAAACTGAATATTGAAATTCTAGGAGAAATATAACCTGTTTTTTGCTGTTTTTTTTTTTAAATTTATAATAATCAAAATTTTAATTGCTGTTGGAGGAATTATCTATTCTATGTATGAAATTTTATACAGGGTGTTAAGTATGCTGACAAACTTTAAAGGTTGAATCTATTTTTAGAAATTTTAAGTCAAAACAAGATTATATGAACATGGGTCCATGAAATAACAATTTTCGAGATACAAGGTGTTGAAGAACTGGAAAAACTGAATTGATGAGTCATCCACCACATAGCCCTGATTTGGCACCCAATGACTTTTTTTATTCCCGCACATCAAAAATAAATTACGAGATCACTTTTTCTATGCCTGAAGAAGTGGTTGATGTGTTCAAATTGCATGTTTTGGAGGTATCTCAATAGAAATGTAAAAAGTGCTTTGAAAATTGGTTCAAGCACATGCAAAAGTGTGTTGATCTTCTTCAACATAAAACGCAACCCTTGTAAAATAAAAGATGATTTCTTGGAAACAGTTAGAGTTACAAGCTGTTATCGAATTTTCAATATATCCCGTGGTATTGTATTTCTGGGGTTTTTAGCTACTGGTATATATATTTATATCCGAATTCAATGAATATGTACCATTAACTATTAAATTGTTAGCCCAAGGCTCATTATTTCATTACAGGATATTAGCAAAACCATACTTGGCACCCACGTTTATAACTTTTTTGGCTTAAAAGCATTCAAAGAATCAGCCTTTAATGTTTGTTGATATACTTGTCATCCTGCTCTCTCTGTGGCCATTTGTTCTGCTAAATACTCATCCCTAAATTGTTTTTGTTTTCCAAAACCTATAAACTGCCTTGTCATTCATTCTCTTTGTACTTCCAGATACTGGATTTTGCAAAAATAGCATCACATAAATTTTCTTCTTTTGAATTTAAAAAAATTTAAAGGTAACTCCACTGTGAATGTTACCTTTGAACAAATTTAACAAATAAAAATAATATCAATTAAATTAAATATTCGATGGCCATTTTCAAATGTGACATGAGACTTATGGTCTCACCGACTTTGGTAATTTTTGGTAGGCGACTGCCATCACAAATAAAATGTTAACAAAGTACTTGTAAAATAAAGTTGTTAAATTGCATAATCAGTTTTTTTGTGTACCATGTTTTATCGGAATATCTCTAAATAGCATTAAAGTGATATGAATTACAAATTAAAATTGCTTATATTTAATGAAATCATAGAATCAAATGTGTGTTTGTCTTTTCGGTAGCTAGAAAAAACTTCCGCAAATTATGTCATCCGCATGCAGTAACTGGAAGGAAAATATCTTTTTTACACAAACCGATAAAAAATGACGAAATATGTGTCAAATACTTTACACTAATATTTTGAAAAAAAAAAAATGAAAACATAATGCTTACAAAACTTGCACTATCCTGCTGCCTAGACCTTTTTAAATCGTCAATAAATTTGTCTAACTCTTCTATTTCTGGCATGCTCTCTTCCAATTTTTCAATAGTTTCCTTAATGAAATGACTGTAAATAAAAATAATGAATAACTTAAAATCATCCTTACAGAAAATTAAAATCAACAAAGACAAACTTACAAAATTGAAAAATATATAAATTGTAACGACTTACTCTGAAATTAGTGCTGTAGCCTCGGGATCATTTGAATCAATACATTTTTTAACTGCCTCGTTAAGGGGATATACTGAAAAGCACAGTAAACTATCATTATCATTAAAATGTTTCAACACTATGTCCTCCACTCTATCCGCTATAATATCTGGCATCTAAAAAAGTAAGTCTATTTTAAGAAAATTAACCATTTCATTAGATATCGAGTGGAATGGAAAACACTATATTTATTTTTACTTTGAATTGAATTTTGAAAAAAAATCGATTTTCGGATAAGTGGTTTAAACCATGCTTTATTATGTGAAGAATATAGGAAAAAAGATTTAGGTAGGGGGGAAAAATCGGGAACACGAGTTTTTTCGAGATAGAGCGCAACCACTTGTGCAGAAAGCTACAGGAGCGCTTATTGTAACTCATCATAACGTGCAATAGTTAGCTATTATAGAGGCCAGATTAAGTCTCAGATAAAGCCGAAAAGAAGAGGATGAAGAAAATGTCAATATAGAAAGCCAATTATATGGTGCAGGCATCGCTGATTGAAGGTATGCATATAACCAATTTCTTATGATGAATGGCAACAAAACTATAAAAGCGTTTTTCGAGAAACCACTTTTTTTTTAACTGGACGGAAACATAACTTAAAGTTTTCAATGAATCGACTTGAAATTTTGTACGAAGCTTCACAATAACACAACTCGGGGAATATTGTAGTGGTTTTTTGGTTGGTTAACAATTTCTACTATTATTAATTAATAATTTAAATCATTTGTCTTTTTTCGATACTTTTCTTTTGAATGTTTACTAAGTCAAGAATATTTTTCAATTTTCCTATGATGTTCCCTAGCTTTTAATATATAATATTAGAAAATGTTTGTTTTTGTTCCAGCACTATCCATTAATAAAAAACCTTTTCAGCCATACAGCCCTCTGAAAAATGGTGTCGTTGCTCGCCATCACCTACAACTGTACCGATTTTTCCTTGAAAATCACCTTTTCTCAACCTCTACAGTGGCGTTACCCTTAGGAAAAATCATAACTACCTTTGTTAAAACATACAATGTGTTCTGTTTAACTTTAATTTCCATTCCGTGTTTCATGCCTTTTCTACTGTTCAAATAAAATTCCAGATTTTTTGTTTTCAATTAATGTTTCATTTACAAAATAACTTGTAAAACATGATTGTGATATACATATATTTTTGTGTTTCTGGGACTATAAATATTTGTTGTAAATGCCATTTGGAAAATAGGGTCCCTTTAATTCTTGACATTGCTCACAATTGGTAAAGTTTAGGCTGTCTGTGGTAAATATAATGCCTATACCTACGGTTCATACTCAATCTCTAACTTGAGAACGATTTATGCTCAGGTCTCAAGCATAGCTGAAGTTTTATAATGGGGACTTCATCAATACTCGGCGAAGTTTGGTCGTTTCGGTTTCACTTTGATTTTGCTGTAGTATGTTGACTGGTAAATAGGGGTATTTTCTGTTTCTTAAGTTAGTCAGTGACATTTGCCTTCAGTTCGAAATTTCATCCGAAATAAACTACTTAATTGGGATTATGTACGTAGGTTTTTTATTTTGAATTATATTCAATGGTAGGTTAACTATTTTTTACTTCATTAGCTGATAAGAATGATATAATTGAAAGTAAAAGAACTGAAAAGCAAATGGGATAAGTAAACAGAAGGATAGTGTTTACTATAGTATTTTTTAAAAATCCGTTTGTTTTGATACGATACTCACTACCGCTATAAAAAAATCAATAAGATTTTCAGCATCGTAAATATACTGTTTCGACATTTTTTCAACAATTTCGTCCGCCACAAAATCAATAAACTCCAAAAAATCCAAAATACCTTCATGATCCATTAATCACGTGAGGTCCAAATAGGGAAGGGAGGACTTTGGATAACATCACCATTGCTCACGATGGGGAAGGGGGGGGTTTGTTGTTACATATCACGTGTATATTTTCGCGTAACCATGTTCGAGCATGCCTTGCTGTGAGCTGCGATATGACATCACGATAAGTAATGCGCAATTGACGTGGTCGAACCTTGTCCGTCGCCCCGCCTGCGCTGGCTAACAACCTCACCACGTATCACCAGGGGAAAGGAGGATGATGTAAAAGTGTCCTAAAAACCCCACGTGATTAATGGATGATCCCTGACTTACATTTAAACTACCGAAACTAAGCACACTCAAGGTCTGTCTCTGCCCGACTTGAGTATGGAGTGTTGCAAGATCGCACAAAGTTGTGCTCACTAACGAAGTACAGATACGCAATTGTATGCTTAAGTTATGCTCAAGTCTGAGTTTGGCCGAAGTGTCGCTACAGCATGCTACAGAGACTGTCAAAATGTCACTATGATAGAGTAGTTTATAAAATCAATAGTCACTATTAGTTCCAGTGTTACAAACTAGAATATTTAAACATTTTTTGAAATCAAGAATAATGGTTGTTGACTTAAGAAGGAGGAAAATGAGTAATTTCCAAGAATTTAGTGTTTAATTTTTACATATTTTTTTTAGAGTTTGTTATTCGTGTTATGGATTTCTACGGGTTTTGTCACATGGATCTACGGATATATGTATTCACAAAATAAACAACACTGGCTAAGATCATTCATCAGTAGAATCATCAGCCACAGATGTTCCAAACTTATTCTATTTTATTGTGATTCTCCTGACAAATGATCTTAGCTATTTACTAGATATGTGGGTTGGATTTCAATGCGTCATTAGTTTCCCACGATATCAATTTAAATTTTTATTATTACTTACATCATATACGTCACTTTTATTCTGTCTAACTGGATTTTTGATAGGTTGGCACTTCACCATGTCCTCAGGATTTGCAACCTGTCCTACATACGTCTGGCCAAATCGAATTGTGTTAAAAAGCTGTCTTTCATCCCTATATTTCACGTTGAGCCTAATTAATGGCTTCTGAGTTACTTTTTGTGTTCGACCTGAAACACAGAAATTATTGTGTTCTTATTATCATTGTCAATATCGCAATTGTCAATATCATTATTGTTATCATATCATTACCATTTTTAACATTATCATCATCGTCATCATTATTACTATAAAATCAGCATTGTTAAACAGGACTTTTTAAAAATAAGAAAAAGCTTTTTTGGCAAAACCGATTTATGTTATTCAAAATAGTAACCTTCCGACTCAATACAGCGATTTGCACGGTATAAAAGCATGTTGAGTGAGTATTTTAGATCATCGGCTGGGATGTCCTTCAGGATGTCAGTACAAGGCCATTTGGATGGCTTTTACGTCTACAAAATGCTTCCCTTTTTGCATTTCTCTAAAAAAGTATCGCATGGTGCCAAATCAGGAGAATACGGGGAGTGATTGACAATTAAAATACGCTTTTGAGTAAAAAAAAAATTGGTCACAAGTGTCGATCGATGATATGGCGCATTATCGTGCAACAAATGACAACTTCCTCCTGCGTGGTATTCTGGACAAATATGACGAATACAATACACCAAACGCTTCAAAATGCCAAGATAGAATTTTGCAATAACAGTTTGGCCTTTGAAACCTACTCTTTGTGGACAATGCTTTTGGAATCATAAAAGCAAATCAACAATATCTTCACTTCTGATTTCTCCAAACAAGATTTTTTGGGTTTTGGCTGTCTGGCACCTCCCACTTGGCACTTTCGAGCTTGGTTTCTGGATCATATTGAAAACACCACGTTTCATCACCAGTCACAATGTTATAAAGGAAGTTTTTGTCCTTTTTGGTCTCCTTAATGATGTCCGTCGAATGTTGAATTCTGAGTAATTTTTGGTCGTCAATCAACTTGTGCGGATTAATCTGTGCACACCCTTTTCGGTAGCCCAAATGTTCAGCCAAAATCCGATAAATTGATGTAGCTCTTTGTTCGACATTAATTTTTGTACCGATGACACAAACATACTGTCACTGTGTTTCCATTTGCCTAAATGTCATGAAATATTGAAAATATGTTATATTTGGCATAAAGTTTAGATACTCTAGAACATATTAAAGAATGCTACAAAATCGTTCATGGTTACTACCAGAGGCGTACGACAGGGGTAGAGGGGCAGTCTCCCATTCCTAACTTCTACGCCACTGGTGGAATTATTATTTCTCGAGATTTTTAAAGTTAAACATAGGGTAGCACAATTATTTTTATTTTATTATGTAATTTATTTGTCAAATTATTATTATTCAAGTCAGTGTCTTCTGTCATGGGATTACATTGCATTAGTTGAATTAACAAACAGGGTTAAAGTAATGGGCAAAAATCATTTAAAACTTTTTAAATAAAACACCCTGTAACTCCGTAAGGAGCCATATTTTATCTAAACGTTATGTGTCAATTCTTTATATTTTCAGCCCAGGATTATCCAGTTGGCTTATGTACAATTATTATATATATTAGAAATTTCAGTTATTGGGGAAAATGAACGTGTCTCAAATATAAAATATTTCATTTTTATAGATTTAATGTTAACAATAAATGACTGCTTACCTAATTGTTTCGCTTCTTGGATCATATTGTTTATTTTATTTTTCACTAGTTCCACTGTTGTTTCACTATAAGTGAGACCATTATCTTCGGTATCCATTTCGTTTAGTTCTTTTAGTACTACCTCGTCGAATATATAGGGCCGCACTGTTTTAAGTTCAATTGGTGTCATTATGAAAGATTTTTTATGTATTTTTAAAATACCAATTTTTTTTGGTATCGCTTCACCAGCTGCCAATGAAGTTGCAACAGAACTACCTGAAACATTTAATTATTCATTAGGATATTTTCATAAATATTTTAATACCTTACCAGGTTGAGAAATATATACACCATTTGTTTTCATTTCAGGTTCTATTCTACAATCATGTTCATGGCCCCAAATAACTAAATCTAAAAATTTAGGAAGCGTATCATCAGGAATAAAATTTTTTACTCCTCTAGTGGCTCTGTTCTGATGCCAAACTAATAAGTTGAACCAATCCTTATCATCGTCTGGTGCTAACATTTTTACCTACAAAGAACGACATGTTCAGGTGAAACACAATTATAAAACTTTTTCATTCATTTACATTTTATTTATACACTTTATTGGCTAAACTCATTTTGTTTTATAGCCCTAAAAAATATTTAGTCATCAAAAACTAAAAAATTATTTACTTTTTTGTCGAGAAACAACCTCCCAAGTCTTTCATCTTTAATATGAGACAATCCATATAAAGCTAATTTTGTCTGACCTTTCTTCAGCAAAATTGGTTCTATTTCCACCATTTCATGATTACTCCACCTCCCAAAATAGTTTAGCAGCCCCGTAGTAGCTAATAAATCCATAGCAGATATTTGCCTTTGACCAGTAGGGTCATCATGATTGCCATGAATTGAAAATACAGGAATAGATATATTTAAATTTGGATCTTCATAATTAACCGTTGGATTTTGTAGAGTAGAAAAATTATGGGTTGGATCTGAAAGAAATTCAATTTCTACTGGCCTATCCCCAAGGCAATACCTGAAATAGTGTTCATTTCATTAATATTTCTCATCAGAAAGCCACTATTAAAACAGAAGTTCTTTAACTTAAGCTACTATAAACATTACATTTATAATTAACAAATAATATATAAATAATAAACTAAGAAACTAATTTTCTTCGATTTGGAATGATTACCATCTACGAATCTCGTTGGCTTAAATATGTTTATCAAATTAACATATATCTGATTTTCAGTATTGATAAAACAAAAACAAGTTAAAGTAAGAAACTGTAATAAAAATTATACCAGTCTATAAAATCGAACAAGTTATTTGTAAACAATCTTATTCATAAAAAAAGAAACATTAAAATATTGCAATGTTATAAAAAAATTATATATGCAACATTTTTCCATTTGTTTTACTTAATTGTTATTATTCAAGTTGTTATATACAGGGTGGTTCAGAATTTATAATTTTTTTTTTTTTGGATGTACTTACAGGGGATTCTTACAAATACTTATAATTTTGTAAAAAAAAAATCAAAGAGGGCAATTCGAAAATGATTTAAAAATACATTTCTGCACGGCACTGGAAGACTTGAAAGAATTTCGCAAGGAAAAAAATAAATAGAATTTTATAACACCTATTTTATATCAGCAAATTCAACTGCTTTTGCCGCTATTGTTATTATTAATTAATAAAACTAATTTGTGGTTTTATTTAATAAAATAATTTGATATACCTGACACAAATGTTGTCTTGCTTCACCACAAATTAAAACGATATCCATCAACTTCGAGTTGCTATACACATAAGCCATTTTTGACAGTGACTATTAAAAAACTATTGTAAATACTATCGCAGTGACGTTAATACTAATTGTAAAATCAGATTTCAATATTTGGAGTCACCGGGGCCATGTGGCTCCCCACGCGCATTGCGTAAAGTGCATAACGTGAATGACTCTAGAGACTACAGTTGTACAGCGATGTAATGCTGGAAAGTACTACAACTTCAATAATTTTTTTCTCAGAATCTATAAGGATTTTACGAACAATTTTTTTACGATATTGACTCCGTTTTTCATGCCGCCTCTATTCCCAAATTTTTTTAGATAAGTTGTGAATCACCCTGTATTATACAGGGTGGTCCGAATTTTATTCAGGAAACTTCGAGGGCAGATAGATCTCTTTAAAATAATATGTATTTGCCTTATAAACATTGGTCTGGAACAGCCCCGTTTTAGAGATGCAGGGTGTTAAAGTTGTTAAAAAAAATTAATTTTTTGTTTCTATCTCCGGAATCTAATAACCGATCTCAATAAAATTTAGTACAGATAATGTATGATAGTAGGCCTTACATTCCCTAAAATATGAGCTTTAAAGGTTCAACCAGTGGTGTACAACTAGACAGGGGTCACCCCTTTATTACAAAAAAACCTACGCCACTGCATTTTTTACATGTCATTGTAACTGATTTATATTCTAATGCATAAAATACGTGGAAAAGGTAACTTGAATTTTTTTCCTAAGATTTGCCATTCTCAAGTTATAACTTGAAAACGGCGAATCTTAGGGAAAAAATTCAAGTTACATTTTTTACGTATTTTGTGCATTAGAATATAAATCCGTTACAATAACATGTAAAAAGTGCAGTGGTGTAGGTTTTTTTGTAAAAAAGGAGATGACCACTGCCCAATTGTACACCACTGGTTGTACCTTTAAAGCTCATATTTTAGGGAATGTAAGGCTTACTATCATAGATTATCTGTACTAAATTTTATTGAGATCGGTTAATAGATTCCGGAGATATAAACAAAAAATCTATTTTTTTTAACAACTTCAACACCCTGTATCTCTAAAACGGGGCTGTTCCAGACCAATGTTTATAAGGCAAATACATTATTTTAAAGAGATTTATCTGCCCTCGAAGTTTCCTGCATAAATTCGGACCACCCTGTATAATGTTATTTAGTTTAATATTAAACATACACAACCTAAAAAACATAATGCTTACTTTTTTAGAAGTTCGGTGCATCTGTAAATGCAGTAAGGGCTAGGTTGAGCATGATGAAATAAATCTCCTCCTAATAGAATAAAATCTACCTGTTCAGCGTCTGCAATTTGCAAAATTTCTTCAAGTGTATCAAATGTATCCTGATCTGTAAATAAGAAATGTGAACCGACAATCAATTTATATTTAAAATTGTCAAAAACATTTAAAAATGTACCTCTTATAGGATCTTTTTCTTCAAAACCTAAATGGATATCTGTTGCTACAAGAATATTAAATATATCATCATCCTTTCTCATTTCTGGCACGTTATTTTCTTCACTTGTAATACTCATTTTATTAAAATGTAATAACAAATCTGGCGGTTAACAAACAGAAAACATCGAACACATGGAAACTCTACCAAACTTCCACAAGCCGACTAAATAGTACTAAATACAAATTTGAAATATGCGTTTCTTAGGTTATGTTATGAATATATGACATAGATAAGAGATTAGCAAACCAAATCATAGACCAGCCATAGACTTTATAATATCTATACCACAAACCTACGAGTAGAAAAAACGCTAGACTGCGTCAGCTGTGGATAACACTGGCGGCCGCAAATTCATGGCCCTATACGCGCCATTATTCCATGGCTAGAAATTTGCCTCAATGATTTGGGATCGAAGGGGATTATCCCTCTTTATCCTGCCTCATCTTGTGTAGGCCTGGACAGCCTTCGTAGGTGGGCCCCATCCGTCGTCTACCCCGACCGCAAATGCGGCCGGTGTAGGCGCTTTGTAGGACCTCCTTTTGACGGCCGGCCCTTTCCTCTGGCGCTCTTTTAAACCCCGGGGGTGGTGTCATGTTTATGTGTGGTATGGTTGGGTAGGGTAGTGCAGCTATGCAGCCTGGGATGCGCTTTGCTAAGGTGGCCTTTAGGCTAGCGCTGGAGGGGAGAGGTAAGGAGGGTATGGGGTGTGTGTGTTTATGTGTTGTGTGTTGTGTGTGCGTGTGTGTGTGTGTGTGTGTGTGTGTGTGTGTGTGTGTGTGTGTGTGTGTGTCTTCGTTTCTTGATCCTGGCTGTCTCTGAAACAGAAAAGGTTAGCCGGAAGGGGGGGGATGTCGTTGGGGTGGTCACCCAGGGTCAAAAAGTTGGTGTCTAGGTCTTTTGTGTTTGTCGGTCACGACGACCACAAGAGGTCGCGTCCTGCTGAATTACCAAGACAGACACGACGACTTGACGATACTCGGACCGACAGAACCGACACATTACGGACACGTAGGACGCCCCGACGTCATCGACATTGCCCTCTTAAAATCTATACCGTTAAATGCCCAAATATCCACCCAATACGAAGGGTCTTCCGCCCACAATCCAATATTTCTGGATCTGGGGCGAAGACAGAGATATGAAGGCACCTTCACGAGGAGGTTCACTGACTGGGAGCGTTTCCGAACAGTAATGCAAGGAAACATGGCGCTCCCAGTCATCGAAACCACCCATGATCTGGAGGCGGCAATCCTCTCCCTTGAGACTGACATTAAAAACGCCCTGACTCAGACTACGACGGAGACTATTGTCCCCCGACTGACAAACCCCCGGGGCACCCTCCCCGATGACATAAAAAACTTAATACGTGACAGACGACGTGCG